TAGTTATGAACTAAAATAAATCACCTAAACTAAAGAATTATTTGGCTAATAAGTAAGAAATTATTAAATTTTTTGGATATAAATCAAACACTTAGGAAAAATTATTATAAGATTTAGATAATTAAAATTTATATAAATTTTATTGAGCTTCCAATTAGTAGGAGTTTATTTTAGTTCAAGCAAGTAAAAATTCATAAGTCTAGTATGACCAAATACTTATTTGTAGGCATAAAAGCTTTCATGCATGCTACAAAAATAATTTCATCTTTTTTGTTTATACCACACCTATTTTTAATTATAAAAAGAATTTAAATATTATTTCAAATCAATATTAAAATTATCAAGATATTTTTAAGAAAAAAATTCTAATAATCTTTTAGAGCATTATTATTATGATTGCTCAATTGACCTTCAAGAGAGCTTAATTTCCATTTGGACTACTCTAAAATTTATCACAAAATGACTTAATTGAACTCAAGAAATATATTGATGAAAACTTGACTAAAAATTTTATATGCCATTCAAAATCTCTAATAAGAATTCTTATCCTACTTATAAAAAAAAAAGTTTGATCATTGTGAATGTATATGGATTATAAAGGACTCAAAAAAAATACCATCAAGAATAAATATCTTCTACTTTTGATATCTAAACTTCTTTATCAATTCAATAATAGTAAGATTTATATAAAAATAGATCTATGAGAAGCATAAAATTTAGTATACATTAAAGAATGAGATGAATATAAGACTACATTTTGAACTAGATATAAAAATTTTGAATATAATGATATGCCTTTTAGATTCATAATAATATTCTTGATGCTTTTTCATATCTTATAAATGATGTTTTTTGAGAATTGTTAAATGATTTTGTCATATGCTATATAAATGATATATTGATTTATTCTAAAAACATAATAGAGTATGAACTTAATATTTGTTATATATTACAAAAACTTAGAGATATAATATTCTATGTCAAGGTAGAAAAATATGTATTTTATATTAATCAAGTTGACTTCTTAGGATATATCATTTCAAATAATAATCTTACAATGGATTCTAAAAAAGTTCAAACTATTATAGATTGGAAAATTTCAAAAATATTAAAAAATATCTAATATTTTTTAGAAATTTCTAATTTCTATAAAATCTTTATCAAGGTTTTTTTGAAATTGCAGCTCTACTTGTATGTTTGACTTGCAAAGACAAATTTTAATATAATAAAGAAAGAATAGCATCATTTGAAGCTTTAAAGATAATTTTTATTTTTATATTAATTTTATATTATATCAAATTTTTTACGATATTTTTTTATAAAATAGATGTATTAGATTTTTCTTTAAATATAATATTATCAAAAATAAGAAAAAATGATAAACTTCATCTTATTACTATTTATTTAAGAAAATTTTAAATAATCAATATAAGCTACAAGATTTATAAAAAAAAAAATTGAAATAATGGATTCATTTCAAGTACAGTACCATTATCTAAAAGATGCTTTAAGATTGATGATTTTTTATATAAATCACAAAAATCTTAAGTATTTTGTGTCTACACGTATTAAAAATTATTGCCAAATTTTTTGGATCATGTCATTTTTAAGATTTGAAATTAAGATCATACATCATTCAAAAAAATAACAAATTTTATTAAATAATTTTTTTAGACTTTCTTATTTATCATCAAAAAAAGAGATGGAACTTTTGATCAATAAGAAACCATTTTTTTAAAGCTAGAATAATTTCATCTTCAAGCAATGAAATCAATATTGAATATTGATTCAATCTTTCTTATAGAAGTTTATTTATGTCTTCTAATCTTCTTATTGATGTCACCAAAAATATTCTATCTAAATTTCATGATATTTCTAAGTTTGAATTTAAAAACAATCAATTTTATTTTGAAAGATACTTATATGTTTAAGAAGGTGAAGCATAAATATGTGCTTTTCAAGCTTATCAGGACTTTTTAGATACAAGATATTTTAGACAAAATAAGATATTGGAATTAATATTAAAATATTTATAGTAGCCACAAATATAAGAGGCACTTAAAGACTTTGTAAAATCATATAATATTTTTCTAAGATAAAAAACTCCTTAATATCATCATTATAGGTTTTTTCAACTATTATCAATATTAAAACAATCTTGATTTTTTATTTCTATAGATTGTATTATAAATCTTTTTATCTTAAATTCTCATGATTCTATATTTGTGATAATAGATCATTTCATAAAGACAACATATTTTGTATTATATGCAAAAACTAAAATATATATATATATATATATATATATATATATAGCAAAATTTTTTTTTGATAATATTTATTGCTATCATGGATTTCTAAAGGATATTATATTAAACATAGAAACTTAATTTATATTAAATTTTTAAAAAAATATTTTTGATATATTAAAAGTGGATATAAAATCATCTTTGATTTTCTATCTTCAAACAAATGGACAAATAGAACAAGTAGATCAAGTTTTGAAATAGTATTTAAGATGTACCATCAATTATTATTAAGATGATTAAAAAAATATTTTTTTATTAATTTATTTTATAAATAATAACATGATATATTCTTCTATTTAACAAACATCTTTTTTTTTCTAAATATGACATTCAATAAAGATTGTATTCCATTTTTTTATTCTTGATTGTGGTTTCTTTATATCTCTGATGCCAAAGAGATAGAGAATCAGTAGTAAAAATAAATAAATTTAAAAACTATTATTTGTTGAATTATCAAACAAAACATTGTAATATTTAAAATCTGCAAGACAACATAATAGAAATAAAGATCCTCAAAAACAACATATTCTTTCTCAAATATATGGTAAAATATAATACATTTGATATTAAAACTTTAGAATAGACTATCAATATTTGGTGATATTATTAGAAATAAAAACCATTCTTAATGGTATTTAAATAATTTTTTTGGAAAGAAGTTGTAAAAGCTTCAATAATAATAAAATATTGAGATGGTCTTTCTATCTTAATAAGAGACACAATTAATAGATGAGAGGACCTATCAACTACCTTCAAAGAAAAAAAAATCAAAATATGTGGCATATAAAATTTGCTTCATCTTGGACTTCCTCACTATATAATTAGTACTCCTTATGGAATTTATTCCTAGAAAGAGAGGTACGATATAAACATCTATGTTTACTTTAATAATTATCTAAATAAGATGAGTAGATAGAAGTAAATAGAAGTAGATAAAAATAAATAAACTTGCTAATGACTTAAAGAGAATCTCTTCAAAAGCTTCATAGACATAGTTTTGCTATTATAAATGCCTATAAGTGATTGATAGGCTGAAAACTTAGCCAATATATTGGTCATATATTGCATATATTGGATATTTGGTGTACATATATAAAACCTATTTTGCAAGTTAGACATGTATATTACAAGTTTGACATGTGTTGAAGGTCCTATAGATTGTTACCATATAGTTTCTAATTAGATAATATATATAAGTCTTTCTCATTCTTATTAATTCTTTTTTTACTTCTAGTATAGTTTCAAGAGACTTTAGCCTTTTGCAATAGCCATTAAAATTTCTTCTTGAATATATATATATATATATATATATATATATATATATACTTATTTTTTTTTGTCATCTTTCTTTAAAAAATGTATTGCTTGTTTATTTATATTCTTCAAGTTTTTATCCTTAACACTTATTATTTAAACTTTTTAATTAACTATAATAGGAATAAAATATAAAACATATTTATATCTCAATTGAATGTATTGTAATATTTATCATTACAATTATTTTTATAATTTTATAATATAAATAATATAAGATCAAAAAATAATATAAATTTAGCTTTGGTAGTAATTGTATGTAATAGATATTTATAAAAAATAAAAAAATTGGATTTTTTTTAAATACAAACTAACATGAAGTATTTTATAATTTTTCTACACTAATACCACGTATATTTATTTAATTTTTTTCTTAATAATATTTTAATAGAGAGAGTTAATTAAAAAATTTAGTTTTTTGAATAGATAGAAAAATATTTTAAGCATGTTTAAGGTTTTAAATATGCATCATGAATGTATTTGACAACCACTTTAAACGTCATTTATACCTTAATTGTTTTGGTGAGGTCAAGTTAATTGAAGATGATCTTATTTAATTTTATTTCCTATTTTGATTTTTTATTTCTATTTATTTCAACTTAATTTTAACCTTATATTTTTTCATAAAATTTAATTTTTTTAAATAAATTCTTTATTTTTCTATCCCATTATTATTATCATTATTATTATTATTATTATTATTATTATCATTTAAATATTTAAGATAATTTATTTTATTATGCCATGTATTCAATGGTTTCAATATCTATAGTTTTTTTGGTTTTTTTTCTAAAAAAGTTAAAACTATAATATATTATAGTTTCTCTTTTTACTGTTTTAAAGTGTAGAAGTTCTTTTTTTTTTTTATTGTGCACACATATTTGAGACTTTAGGTTAAATAAATTTTCCTAAATAGAGATTCACAACACTCTTCATATATACAATAGTACTTTGAACTAAACTTAGGTTTTAGTTATTTCTGATTTATTTATCTCTTTACACTCAATACTCATAAGATGTCACAATATTATAAATGCAAGATAAAACTAAAATTTTATATTTTTAATTTTTTTTTAAAATAGTTAAAAACATTAAAATATAGTTAATTTGAAAATAACTTATACTCTTTTTATTCAATAATTAGGTTAATTGAGAACAAAAGCTTCTTATTATGTTTTGCTGATACTTTATACTTGCAATTTTTGGCATGTTCAACAACTGCAATACACAAGACCTTTAATCACAACATTAGTATCCTTTCATAGCTTTTAGATTTTACAAATGCATAGGGACTAGTTACATATTTGATGTTTCTATTTCCTGAATACCTTATTAAATATGACAATAGGTATTATGTTTTTAACATCGTCAAGTGTAGTTGGAAGCTGTAAACTATACAATTTCATAGGATAATCAGTAAACATGAGTAACGAGAGATTTATTTGTTTATTTGTGGAGGTACTTGTGCTTCCTTCCATGGGCATAGCTCTGTGCAACTTGACCTGAGGGTAATTTTCCTAGAGTAGACCTGGTGAATGCATGCAAGGTTATATTATCTAATTGAGAAGTCAGTAGCCTTCTCGTCGGAGCCCAGCTAATGGGATGTCATAACTATATCATCCTTGCAGATATCCATCCGAGTTTCGCGATCCGATGCTGCTGCTGATGGGCTGTCGAAGAGACACAGTGTCGTACTTCAATATGCAATTGAGCGGTGGATTGAATGCACATGCTGGTGAAGTTTGCGGAGTCGCCAGGAGGTAAGACGATGCAGCAATCCCTTCCTAGGGAACCAGATTGAGGTGTACCCCATTAAATTATTAATATACCACTGTTGCTTTAAAAAAAAAAAAAAAAAAAAAAAGAAAAAAGACGATGCCGCAACAGTTGAAGCTAGAATCATTTATGATTTTATAAGGTGTCGCAACGAAATACTAAGGCATCATCAGTCAGCAGGCTCACGATGTCATGAATGCTCTAGTTTTGCTGCTGTTGGCTTGAGCTTCCCATCAGCAACTAACGTGCCGAAAATCCTGTCCTATTCAGTGACACTGCTTGCTGGTTTATCACGATAAGTTTGCAGATTGGCACGTTTCTACCCACGAGCTCAGCCAGATCTAAGACTCTGTGGAATAGGGAGCGCTGTAGTCGGCCACGTTGACGGTGAAGGTCATTACGGGCCCCGAGTCACTGATGCTAGTGATGGCAACGCACGTCGGCGCACCGTTATTGGCATTTGTTGAAGGATTGGTGCTCCAATCCAATGCCCGCACGTTTCTCTCGCCGGGAAAGGAGTCGCCAGAGTCGCCCCATTCCTGATCGTTGTTTTCAAGGTCCTTTACCCCGTCAGCCTGCACAAGTGCTACCTTGTAGCCCAGAGTCTCGTCATTGTTGTCATCTTTGGTCTCATCGATGTGCCACAAACAAAGGCCATGGCCAGGCAGGTCTGCATCCCGCGCAATTTGCTGACGGTTCTCAAGCAGGAAATACTCGGTATCTGGCGCCCCATCTTTCCACAATTTCAGAACTTGGTTCCCGTCCTTCACATCTAGCAGGGAGATCCTGCACATGACCAATCACATAATACTTAACCGTGAATCCTCATATTATCATAGGAGTAAGATTTTAAGGTAGTTGGGGGATTGATCACTACATGGCTGTGCTGGTGACCTCAGTAACTGTCACCCAGCCTTGATCCACTTTGCACCACGCACTAGGCGGCGCGGGGTTGTCTCCGTCGCCATTGTAGGACCCCGAGGCCATGAGACACCACCCGCCAATGCCGGAGGAAGTGGAGTCGGCGTCATACAAGTCTGGCCACCCGAACACAAGATGGCCAAGCTCGTGAGCGCACACGCCAAGCTTGCTGTCGGCAGCAATGGTGAGGTATGCATATACCGAAGTGTTGTCCGCTCTGTAGGGTCCTCCATCCAAAACAAACTTATGCGACCAGATGTCGTTCGCCAACCCTGTAAGCTCGGCCCCTTGGCCAGCGTGCACAATCACAAATGCATCGACAAAGCCGTCACCATCATTGTCATACTTCGTGAAGGTGATCATACGGTCCGCGATTCTAGCCGCATCCTTTGCCATTGCTCTTGCGTTCGGAGGATTGTCACCTAGGCCGTTCTGTCCGTTAGCGTAGTACTTCAGTGGGTGCGGCATTCGGCATGGGCCAACAATTTCCCCCTGGACGTCTACCAAGTTTTTCGACACGTCACGGAAGTAATCCCGCACGCTGTTCGTTCCTTCGCCAAACCACAAGCGCTGGTAGTGAGCAAGGTCTTGTTCAGCCTCAAATTTTTTATCAATGAAGTCGACTAGGACAATTGCGACGTTGCAAACTCCTCGTGGCCTTTGTCGAGCGGCTCGAGCTGCAGCCAGCGAGGTTCCCGGTCTGAAAGTGTTGTGAGGGCGAAGGAGACCATCATTGAAGCCAGGAGGGCGCCTCTCCACGGGTCGCAGCAACGTTCTTAGTATTGAATGACCGGCGCTCTGTCCGAGAAGACGCTTGAGATCTTTAAATTTTTGTAGAACTTGTTTGCGTACCTTCGGAGACGGTGCTACAAGACAACGATCCTCCATCAAATGTGGATCACTTGTGTGGGAATTACCAGGCTCCATCTAACGTTCCTGGCTTGGGATAAATCAAAAAACACAAGTACAAGTGAATTCTTCTGGTCAATAAAAACTGGTTGGCATTGACATCGATATTGTATCGCCTCGTCTGGACCTGCTCATATTCACATGGTACTTTTTATCTCAAGCAAAATTTGAATAATTTTTTCCAATTCCATACCACTTAACCTTCCCAATACCAGAGAAATATCACATTTCCACATGGGTCCTAAGGTGTCAGAAATAACTCACTTGTGAATTTGATGACACAGTTGTGGCTGAAAGGACAAAGGAGGATGGATAAGCGAGCGCAAGAAGCTCTCGTACGCTTACCTGATGAAACTGAGCAATGGAAAAGGAAGGATTATTGGTGATGGTGCGATACACTTCAATCCAGGTATGTAATGCCACAACTTTCTGGCATTTCTTTTGTACGTCGAACCTACACATAGATTGGCCCATTGACATGTAGACTGGGACGATTGTTTACATCAACAGAAAGTCTACAGCATTACATAATACAAAAAGTTTACAACATTACATAATCATGTCTAGACTCGAATCGGCTCAAACCAACGTTGAATGTTTTTTTGAATATTAGTCCAATTCACGTTCCACATGCCTCAGTTTATATTGCGGGGACCAAACTGATTTGAAATTTCGTAATTCAGCCTGATCTGTCAACAAGCAGCTTCACTACCAATAGCACTGGGTCGACGCTGTTTTTGTAAGGTAGATGAGTGGACCTCTACTGTACGAACTCCCAACCAACCTAATTAGACATAAGAATCGGCCGTTGGTCGTTGGTAAGGTGTTGGTGATGTTGTATCGACACTTTTCAATGACTCGTGATCAAGCTACAGGTAATGGTAGCCAACTGTAACAGTGCTAAAAGTGTAGCCATGACCAAGTACAGCTGATCACCACTGATATCCCTCCGTACCAAAATTTCAAACAGTGCTACATTTTGTATTAATGCCTAGGTATTTAAATAGAAAATGAACCAGCGATTTCGACCGTGAACAAAGTAATCAACCGAGAGAGCCGGAACTCGGGATGCAAGGATGCTTACCCTCTCGTGACAAAGCAAAGCAGAGTGGAGCTACTTACCAAACCTGTTTGACCCCGAACCCAGAGCAAATGAATGCCATTACTGTCACTGATGGGATAGCACTCTGGCTGAGCATCATACTAAACCCAGTCCAACCTCGACCTTTCATATTATGTGCTTGGTAGGAGAAGTCATCTTAATTGAACAATTAAGACATCAAATCGTTGTGCCTATCTGGTGGTCTCGTTGTTAACGCTTCCAATTCTGAAGGTCCTTGGTCACTACGCTAACCAATAAAATTTCGGAGTTTTCCAAGTTGCACAGATCAAAGATGATGTAATGCAATGCAATGTGGGAACAATCAAACAAGATAGATTGTTCTAGTCTTTTAGGATTGTCAAGGTAACAAGATCCACTACATTCAATCAATAATGACCACGAATTCAAAAAGGTTCTGAGATTCACATATGAAATGTCAGGTTAATTCAAAATCACTCTTCGGTGGTTCCGTCAAGTACCACGAACATAGAGCTTTAAATTCTGCTTTCTCCCAGAAGTTTAGTACAAAGAGAATGTACAGTTTGATGGTTTTGTCTCTTATTAGTTATGAACTAAGCCAGGAGGGACTCGATAAGCTCTGAAACTGTCTCTCTCGTGATGAAGCGAACTGAAAAGTACACTCATGAAGAAAATGAGGGTTTTAATTTCTCACATTCTATCTTGAGGTTTATAACAAATCTTCGAACTCTCTATGCATCATCATTCCACTACATTACATTCTAGTGCATTGTTGTAAATCATTAGAAATTAGGGGAATTGCATAATTGTGTATTAAACAATAATTGAATCATTACATGAAGGTCTGACCTTCAGTAACAGCCTACAGGCACAACTAATCGGATCAATGTATACATCTGAATATTCTACTAGTATATTATACATACATAGAAGTACTCTACACTCCTACTAATATACTAGTTGTTAAGGTTTTGTTCTTTTATTTTCCTTCACAAATCTCCTACCTACTAGTGTTGGAGGCACATGTAAGTTGTCAACATTTTCATTTTGTACATAATTTGATTGAGTTCAATGTTTATGTCATTTTTCAATTGACTTTTGTTTTTGTTATTGTAAAAAAATTGGTTTTGGAATTGAGTGTAAGCTACATCAATAACATGAGCATGTACATTGTGAAGGTGTGTTATTCCAGCTGAACTTGTGCATCCTATAGGTGTAATAAGTACCAAGTAAACTTGTGCATCCTATAGGTGTAATTGGCAAGATTACTATTGTTGGCCTAAATCTTGATGCTAGAGACTTCATAGGTGAGTTTGCACTTGGTGATGGTAGCAAAACTTGGAGAGGCAATGGAACTATTATAGCTAAACTACAAGTGTGGACTAGGTCCATGCTTGCTTGAATATACCGTACAACTTTGTTGTTGTATTAAGTTGTCATTTTATGTGAAAACTAATTTGAAAATACATTATGCATCTAGCTATGGAAGGTAATTTATATTTGCAACAAATAAAGAACCTAACAATGTTAATAAAATTTTAAATAAATTATAATTAAACCTTAATTATTATAGTTCAATCTTAATCAATTTCTAAAAAAATCTTGAAGAAATATTAAAAGAATCATTACATAATTTATAAAAATATGAAAAAAAATATAGAGAAGATTAAAAGAAATCCTAAAGAAACTATAAAGAAATCCTTAAAAAATAAAAAAATCTAAAGAAGTTATAAAGAAATTCTAAAAAATTCTAGAATAAAATTTGAAAATATGTTATTCAAACTTAATAAAATCTTAACCAAATTCTATTTAAAGCCTAATCAAATCTTAAATTAATTCTAATAGTCTTAACAAAATTATAAAAGAATCCTAAAAAATCTTAAATAAATTTTAATAAAATCTTAAAGAAATCCTAATAAATTCCTAACAAATCCTAATGCAACTCCAAAGATATCCTAAAATCCCAAATAAAATCCTAACCAAAATCTAATCAATCTTAAGGCAATCTTAAAACCTCATCAATTATTAATTAAACCTTTAATATGGCTTAAAATTTTTTATATATTATAACATAGTAATTAATAATAAATATAATAATTTAAAAAAGAATCCAACTTATTAAATTAAAAAAAAAAACTCCTAAATTGCTTAGGTATTTTCCAATCTAAATATTGATTTTTCAAAAATGCCATAATCTAGCAAGGTTATTCTTTAATCGTATTCTTCAATCAATGAAAGAATCTTGATATTAACATAAGTGCACAATATTAAGAAGTTTTTTGTTAATTTGGAACAAAAAAAAAAAAAAAAAAAAAAAAAAAAAAAATCTTACTATAGATATCTATATTATTTATACATATCTTAGTTAGTTTCTACCCTCTTCTTTGTACTAGTTTGTATTAAATTATCAACAAAATCTTCACTTGTATCTAATTTGACCTACCTCAATTTAAACTTATATAACTCAATGTAAAAATCAATAAAATAAATTAAAACCTTTTGTAATAGATTACATAATTTATTATTTCTTTATATTTTAAATTTCAAATTTCTTAAAAACTTAAATCATTTATAGCAAGAAAATTTTGTAATATAATTTTTTGATTACTATTCTTCTTTCATAATTCTACATTTTATATCCATCTTCTAAATCAAATATTAAAATATCTTAAAAAATTGTGATTATATTTTTGACTCATGAATATAATTATATTTTAATTCTTATAACCATAGCTCTTATAGATATTAAATTATGACCTCTTACAATTGCTACTCTAGACTTATAAACTTACTGGATTTTTTTTGCTTTAGCACATTTTTTCTCCTTAATTTGGTTAATTTTTGGCTTCAAACATGGCACACAAGTAGATACATTTGTTCTAAATATTATTCCAAAAGCTTGTTTTAATTAAAGATTCCAATCAATCACAATAGACTTCTATCTAAGATCCAAAATCTACCCTCTTTAATAACTAAAACATAAGATACAATAACTGTGCCCTTTGTACCTCTCTTTACTCTTTTAAGTCACCTTGACACCTCAAAAATATCATCAAGATGTCTCTAATATGAGAATCCACCATATACAATCTATCCTATTCTTATCCTAATCCTTACTACTAATATTCTTAGTATTTTGATGTGGATCATTTAACAGTTAAATAATAGGTATTTATATGTATTGTACTTATTTTTAATATAAAATTAGCTTGATGTTAATAGAGTGTTGTTTTAATTCATGTAATTGTTTATGTTTTAGTAAAAAATTGGCTATTAGACTGATAACTAGAGAGATTGGTAATATTTTATAGCATTAGGATAAAGATAGGGTAGACCACATATTATAGATTTCATCTTAGAGTCTTCTTGGTGATATTTTGAAGATAAGAATAAAGATAGGATAAATTATATATGGTGGATTTTTATCTTGAAGTTATCTTGGTGATATTTTTGAAGGATCAAGGTGACTTAAGGGATTTAGGAGAAGCATGTAGGAATTATTGTTATTATTGTTTTTGTATCTTTTGCTTTGTATTGATAAAAAGGACAGATTTTGAGTCTTAGATTGGAATCTATTATGATTGATTGGAATCTTGGATTAAAGCAAGATTTTGGGATAATTTTTAAATCAAGAGTATCCACTTGTATGTAAAGTTTGAGGGCAAAAACTAACTAGATCGAGGAAAAAAATATCTTAAAGCAAAAGAAATTCAACAAGTTTGCAAGTCAAAGGCAACAACTTTGAGGAGTTATAACTTGGTGTATATAAGAGCTATTGTTTTGAAACTTAAAATTTAGTTATTTTTTAAGTCAAAAATTGAATCACAAAGTTTCCAAATATTATGAAGTTTATTTTAAGAGATATGTACAAAAGAGTAATCAGATGTAGGATTGTGAGAAAAAAGTTGTGACCAGAAAATTAGCTTAGAGGAATTGCTTGCTATAAATAATTTAAGTCATTGACTACTTTGAACATTTAAATTAAAAAAGAAAATAAAATATTCAATCTATTATAAAAGAACTCAAATAATTTCAATGATTTTGTATTGAGTTATTCAATTTCAAAGAGAGATAAGTCAGATCACGTATAAGTGAAAATTTTGTTAATAACTTAGTATAACCAAGTGCAAAGGAGAGGAAAAAAACTAACTAAGACATATATAAGTAAAATAAATCTCTACAATAAGAAGCTTTGTGCTTTCTTGGACCAACAATAAATTTTATAATATTAGTTATCAATCTAATGGCTCGTATTTTACTAATATAAACTAGTATATAAATTAAAATAACACTATACTAATATTAATATAATAGTATACTTAAGGTGGATACAACCTACATTACAATAATAATTTTGTGCCTCAAGGTTTGGTTTCAATCTTGGTTTACAATTGGACCTCTCCAAATATTATTTTTTAGAT